GGGGTGGGGAATAGTATTTTTCCTGTTTTCTTACTCTACGAATTAACGCATCTGTTGAAGCTAAATTTTTTATCGTTTTTCTTGGATTTGTTTTACAGAGGTTGAATTCACTTCAGGAGCTCCAACTTCTTGAAATCATGTGCAGTTATTTCCAGGAGCAAACCAAGGACTCTGTCCGGCAGATTATTTTCTCATCCCTTTTCAGCCCCCAAGGGAACAAGGCTGATGACAGCCGGATGAGCTTGTTGGGAAAACTGGTGTCCATGGCGGTGGCTGTTTGTCGGATCCCAGTGTTGGAGTGTGCAGCCTCCTGGCTCCAGGTACTTCTCTAGAAAGAGCCTTCGGAGAGCCTCTGAAGAGGAGTTTAGTGTCAGGAATTTTCCCTTGTTTGGATTTCAGGAGAGGCCTTTTCTATATGTTATCTCCTCTGTGTTGCTACCCTGCACGCTGATAGCCTCCTCCTATGTTTATAGACAGGTAGTATCCCTTCTTGAGAAAATAATAGTTTGGAGTGGTAAATGGATTTGAGAAGAAAAAAAGTTCCATCTTCAGAACAAGTGAAAAATCATTTTCCTTAGTTGAATATGGTAAGTTAATATTCTGAAAACAGCTACACATGTAGCCTCCAAGATAGGATTTTTTGTTTGTTTGTTTGTTTAAAGATCATTAGAAGTTAAATTATACAGTTGGGTCAGTAAGCACGTAACTTGTTTTGCATTGTTCCAGGGTGACATTGCAAACATGATGGCTCTCCCAATGGATATGGACAGAAGAGCCGTTTTTAAATATCAAAGGAAAAGATGTATATTTACAATAGATTTTGTGTTAGCTGGTACTTTGAAAGATTCATTTTGTTTTGCCTTTTGTTACTCAAGAGTCTTTCAGAAACTGGTAATCTACTTAGAGTAATTATTTAAAAAAACTTTTAACATTTATTTGTTTCTGAGAGGCAGAGACAGAGCACAAGCTGGGCAGGGGCAGGGAGAGAGGGAGACACAGAATCCAAACCTGGCTCCAAGGCTCTGAGCTGTCAGCACAGAGCCTGATGTGGGGCTTGAACCCATGAACCGTGAGATCATGACCTGAGCCAAAGCTGGACACTTAACTGACTAAGCCACCCAGGTGCTCCTAGAGTAATTATTAATCAGAACTTTGCTTAACATGATTCGCTATTAAGCTAACAGAATTTACCACGTTCAGTTTCACAGACCTGCTTAATTCTCAAGTATTTGAAATCATTTGGGGTTGTTTCCCCCTCCCCAGTTTATGTAGCTGTTTTGCTTGAAACCTGTTTATCCTCAGAATTTGGTTAGAAACGTATATATTGGTCTCTGTAGCACACAGGTAAGCTTCAGTGGAATCTATACGTTCATTCTCACCAGTCTGACTTCTGGGGAATCTGAACTGATGGTGTGTGCTGTATTTAATCTCACAATTACCTCTATCCCTTGGTAACTTAGTGAAGCCAGGCTTAGCCCCCTGTAATTCATTGCATAATTTCCCATTTATCTCTCCTGATGCTATTGTGCTGGCTTTTTGGCAAAATAAAAGCAGATGTCAATGGCAAGGTCTTGGTGGCTTGAGTCAGGGATTGTCACCGCCACCAACCCTCCACCCCCAGGGGTGAGTGGCTACCACTCCCTGCTAGGGAAGGTGGGGTTGGCTGCTTTGAGGTTGTGGGGGCAAATTTCAGCCTGAGGGAACAATCTGGCACACTCTCTCCTTGCAGTTTCCCCTGTAGGCCACGGTTGGCCCTTGGAACTAGAACATCCTGAGCAGCTGTTGAATGTGGCCCTAGCTACGCATTGGCCTCTGAGTGGGAAGGAAAAAGGCAGGAGAGGCTGGTGATACAGGATTTGAAAGAATCACGGGAACCCATAAGATTAGGATTGTAAGAGAAAGTGAGAAAGCACTGCTCTAAATCACATGATAGCTCACAAACTCTCCTCAAGCTCTTCAAAGTGGTAGCCACCGTTCATTTCTGCCTTTGGAGTCTTACCTGTCAGGTCCCAAAAGTTGTCATTTCCTCCTCTGAAGTCCGAGGTGATCTTTACTAACTGCACTTCAAAGCAGGGGTCAGCAGGCCTTTTGTGTAAAGGGCAAGACAGGAAATAGTTGAGGCTCTGCGGATCATGCAGAGTGTTTCGCAACCACTCAACTCTGTCCTGGTAGCATAGGAGCTGCCTTACACAACAGGCAAGCAGATGAGCAGATACACGTCTCTGACTTACAAAAACCGGGATGGATTTGGTCCGTGGGCTTTTGCTTGCCAAGCCCTGCTTCGGAGTTAGCTGTGAACATTTTTATCTCCTCTGGGAAGTGGATGTGCCCGTTCTGGGGGGGGGGGGGGGTCTTCCCCGTGTGTAGGTGGTTGTAGCCTCCCAGCTCACGACACCTGTAGTCACGTGGACTGTGGCTTCTTTCCAGCGGACGCCGGTGGTCTACTGCGTGAGGTTAGCCAGGGCCCTGGTGGACGACTACTGCTGTCTGGTGCCCGGATCCGTGCAGACGCTGAAGCAGATTTTCAGTGCCAGCCCTCGCTTCTGCTGCCAGTTCATCACGTCCGTCACTGCGCTCTATGACCTGTCGTCAGGTAAGCCTTAAACAGCTTGTTGCTCTCAACAAGTTCAGTTCTTGGCCACTTTCGTGTCCCCTCAAACGCCCAGGTAAAATGTCTAGTGAATGCTTTGGCGTTTTTGTCTGTTTGTTTGTTTTCTTCTGAAATGTGTGTTTTATTTTTGGCTGAAAGTGAAGGAAGTGGGCCACCCTGACTTCTGGAACTTGCTAGCAGGGAGCTTTCCTTAGTCATTCCCTCTTGCCTGGTTCGGAGTGGTCCGAGGGGCAGACGGGCTAAAACACGCTAGGGTCAGATATCTGGGGAAGACATGGCTTTCTCCCCAGGCAGGATTTGCTTCCTTATCCCTCACTGTTACTTTGAAACATAACAAAATTTCAGGAAAGTTACAAGATTATTGTAAGTTGCAAGACTCCCGCCTGGGTTCACCACCTGTTAACATTTGCCATGTTTCTCTCCTTTCTTCCTCTCTTTCTCTGCCCCTCTCTCATACTCACTCACAAGTACTGGTTTTTCCTGAACTTTTGAGGGTTTGTTACTAACGTCTTGTACTAAGTCCTTAAATATGTATCTTTCTCCCAGGAACAAGAACGTCCCCTTACTTAACCAAGATACTGTTATCACGCCTAAGAAACTAAATATTGAGGGAACAGTATTTTCTCTTATATAGCCTATATTCAGATTTCCCTGATTATCTCAATAATAACCTCTCCCCTGTCCCCCCCAGAGGTCCGGAGAATTCAGGATTCCATCAGGGATCATACATTATACATGGCTGTT